CGATCAGACGAAGATCGAGTGCGCGCAGAAGAACGACGAGGTCTCTTGCATGAAGTTCAAGGTCCTCAACCTCCTCGACCAGATCTTCCGCAAGGACAGCTTCAAGGCAAGTGTCGGCTCCGGATCGATCGATGGTTCGTTGACTCGTACTCGTTTTCAAATCGAAACGGAACGATTCAACGATCCTCTCGTTATCTCTCTTCGAGTCGAAAATTGTCGAATCGTAGGACGAATCGTTTTAATAAACTTGGTAAACCGCAGGTATCCGAAACGGTGGAGGTGACCCGGAACTCGTACCCCGTGGAAGAGGTATCCGGACGTAGCTCGGAGGGCTCGTTCTTGGACAACGTGCAGGCGTACTTGACCTCTCACGACGTGACCTTCAAACTGCCGATGGACTCGTCGGTGAAGGTGAGCGCGAGGAACATCGAGGACGATCAGCTCACTTTCGACGTGAAGTTCGGGCAGGGCCGCGCCGTCGAGGAGGCCCGCAAGTCGAAGCTGAAGAAGGTGGTCATCCCGATTCTTGTGTTCGTCCTGCTCAAGGCTATGACACTGATCCCACTCGCGATCGGTGTCCTCGGCCTGAAAGCTTGGAACGCTCTTCAACTCTCGTTCTTCAGCTTTATCGTCTCCGTCGGCATGGCGATCTTCCAGCTGTGCAAGAAAATCGCCGCCGACAGCCACGGCGCATCGCTGACCGCGCACGGGCCGTGGGAGTACCAAGCTCAATATAGATCCTTGGACGAGCAGCCGTCGCCGGATTTCGCGCAGGATCTCGCTTATTCGGCGCACGCGCAATCGTAAACACGCTCCCGTATCTCGTTCATCGCCGCGACTTTTGTAAAATACCTGCCTTCCTTCTCTCCTCTGTACACTTTATTTAATAAATTATTATTGCAAATTCAAATTATCGGCAAATTCTGTCGCCTTCTTTCTTTCATTTCGGATGCGATGGGATCATTTTTATACCCGATCATGTATCATATTTGAGATCCTTTCCAAATTTTCTTTCGCGTTATTCGTCGCGAGAAGAATTTTTAATAATTCAGGAGAAATTCTTCTCGAGGAAATAGATATTTCAGATACTTTCAAAGGTTTAATTGGACAGACATTTGTCCGTTTGATTGGAAAAATTGATGATTGATGTATAAATTATGCGTGTTTAATGAATGGTAATGGAACGTTCGAGGAGAAAATTATTCGTAAGAGATTTAAGAAAGACGGTTTATCGATTATAAATTAGCAATCTCGTTTCTAAAATAATAGTAGAAATTTCGCGGTAAAAACTAATAAGGAAGAAACTCACAAGCATAATCTGAAAGATCGATCGTAAAGGATGATAGTCAGGATAAACGCGTAGCCCTAAGTTTCACGTTACATTACAATTACGTCTTCATTTCTGCGATCTCATATAATGCAAAATCGTGTTATTACCGTCGTTATCCTAATAATTATACTTGTAATCCAATTACAAGAATAAAAATGACATCAAAAATGATTTATTCGCTAATAAAACCTTTCATTATTCGCGTCATCGAAGAATGTCAATTTTAAACGTTATTACGTTAAACGTATTTTATAGCTTAAGAGATTTAAAGAAAAATGCACGATATCAACTGTTCTGGATCTAATAGGAGTGGTTTGTTTTTACAGGCGAATCGTAAGGGGGAGGGGGAAAAAATGTGCATGTAAAATCCGTCCACAAGTGGATTCAAGTTTGTGAAACTGAACTGTGGTCCGGTTCTGCAAGGAGATTATGCCCGATAATGATCAGACGCGGCCAACTTCGCGCCACTTGGAGAGCCCATAAGCGCTTTGTCCTTCCGTAAAATGGAAATCCAGTTTCGTCTTCGCGAAGGCATTCCCGCACTCTCTGCTTTCCTTTTTCTTTTCGTACTCTTCCCGCATTTTAAGCACGCACCGCGCGTCTTATTTCGGGAATGTTTTCATGATTTTTACGCTTGTTTTCGTTGAACGTACACGTAATATATACGCGTAAAATATTCACAGGATAAATCAAATAAAATCTCGAACCATTCTTCAAAAACAAATGCAAAAAAGAAATTATTAACAGATCATGAAAATATCGTTTATGGAAATAAATACTTAATACACTTAAAAAAAAAAAAAAAGAAATCTTCTATCTCTTTATCTGTATACACACAGATATATATATTTCACATTAAATCTCCCAAAACAACAAGTTACGTAACACAATCTAAGTTACGTATCACAATTTTTCAATTCTTCGATCCCCCCTTACGTTTCTATAAAAAGAAGAAAAAAAACCTACCTAACCACTCGACCAAGCAAATTAAAACCCAGTTGACGTTTCCCATCCACCATCCACCTACCGTATACGGTCCACCTACCAAAAATCGTGGCGAGGAAACTCTCGTTCCCGTTCGCCATTGATCCATCGGCACGTTGCAACGGGAACGTTGGTTTAACCAACCAAAGCGGCCGAAAGCGTGGATCCCCCCGTGGATCGATATGCAGAGGCCGTGGAAACGTTAGAAACTTGAGGGGGCGCACGGATAGGAGCGCGGCAAGTTCCGTTTCCGAGGCGTCTCCGCCGCCGCCGCATGCCATCGTGTACTCTCTACGCGACGCCCGTACGCTCGATCGTGGACGCGTCGGGACGCGCGCGTGCACGCACGTACCGCGAGGAGGGGAGGGAGGGGGAGGTGTTGGAGAGGAGAGGTGCCGCTCTATGTGCCAGTGAAATTTGAATAATTTTCCTTCGATCGTCGATTCCTGGCATGCGCGACCGAATAACATAGATTCGCGGGGGGCAAATTAAATAAAAGGGGCGGGCCACTCCTCCGTCAGTCGCAGTTCGATCGGCGATCGTTCGTCTCCACAAGCACGC